CGTCACAGTGCGGCAAGCCAAAGGAATCAAAATGCTTTATTTTGATTTGACCACGAGAGACAACGCCCTGCGCAGAGGTCGGACGTAGTTCACAGGTCAAGAAATGGGTTACAAGTAACAACAACATGTCAGCGAGCGAGGAAGGCCTCCATTACAGTCTAGTTAGACGGGACCTACGTGATTTGGCTGCCTTCATGGGGTTAGAGACCTTCCCTGTCATCATTGAAGACGATTCATCAGACGACTTGCAGCAACATACGTTGGCCAGACTTAGGTGGCGGCAGCCAGACAACTTTTCTATAGACTTCCCAGCGATGGCAGTCACAGAGTCGGACATCGCTTCATTTCCCTTACAGACACGGTAAGGGTTTCAAGATCGAAGGATATAGATACAAGTCCTTGTATCTCAAGCACTACTTTCTCTGTTATTACTACGAAGTGGTGGAATCTGTTGGTTCTTCTCACGTCAGCACAAGACATGACACGCAGAGAGAGTCTACAACTACGCTCACTACTGGTCTTCGTGAATGTACAACTGGACGATCCGGACCCCTTCGGACTCCCGGACAGATTAAATCCATATCTAATATGGTGGACTCAGAGCAGTACAAGACGCATCTCTATGTGGACGCATCTCTCCAAGATTGGGGAGCACACCTCGACAACGATGTGTCAGCTGGGATATGGACCATAGCAGAGAAGATCTGCACTTCCACATGCTGGAAATGAAAGCAGTGATAAACGCCATACTCCACTGGATCAGCATTTTGAAGAATGCTCATCTGACGGTACATACAGTCACCTCCACAGTGACGGTCTACATCCACAGAAGGATCAACAAAGTCGGCGAACCTTCTGGACCTCTGCTTTCAGCTGGTCAGCATAACAGTCAACCTGAATGTCCAGATCAGAGTATGCCACATTCCAAGAACAAAGAATGTGATTGCAGATACACTATCCTGTCCAACGCAGCCATTCTCAATAGACTAGATGCTACATTCAGAGATCTTCAAGCAGATCATACAAGAGATGGTAGCACCATTAATAGACCTCTTCGCCACAAGGGTCAACTGATAACATTCGTCTCACCAATACCAGATCCACGGGCATGAGCAACTGACACGCTAAGCATCTCCTGGCTAGGACTAAACGCTTACGCGTTTTCTCCACCAGCTCTAATACCAGGGGTATTGCAGAAATCAGTCAGGCGAGAGACCCACAACTACTTGGGGCACGCCTTTTTGGCCAGCGAGAATAGGATTCCCTATTCTCATACAAGAACTAGGCCTACCTCAACTGCAACTACCAGAGTGGACGAATCTACTAATACATCCTCACACAAAGCAGGCGCACGGCAACCCAGAGGTGTTCCGGCTACACGTGTGGACTGTATCAAGGCATGCTTGAACAAGAGAGGATATTTCGCCGGGGCAGCGAAAGCAGTCTCACTAGCTTTACGCAAGTCTTCACGCAACTTGTCTGACGACAAGTGGTGACGCTTCGAGACAAATGATACTTTTTGAGGATCGACTTCACAGCCATGATAGTGACACATCCTCAAGTGGCGGACTACCTTTGTCACCTAGACAAACGAAGCGGTTAAAAGGGTCAACACTCTCAACATACCTAGCGGCATTGAGCTCAGTTATCGCCATGAGGATGAGTGCAACTGACAACAGTACCAGAGTTACTGGCCTTACTACTCCCTTTTAATTAAATAAAAAATAAAATGCAGATTTCTTCATGCGCCTTTTCCACGTCAGCAGATATGCTCAAGGCGCAACAATGACAGATTAAAAGAGTCTCCCACATTTATACAGCAATATGTACGCTTCCAAAATAGAGTTCCTAATAATACATTGAAAACAGGTATGTTTTGAGTCCTGACTTGAATGTGGCAATACTATCAGAAACTTTCAGATTGTAGCGGAGTGAATTCCACAAGGTTAGGGCTGCATATGAAAAAGTCCGGTTTCCAAAAGTTTTAAGCTTGAAGTTTGGCACCGAACAGAAACTCCTGATTGGATGATCGAAGGCAGCTTGTTTGAGTAAGGAGTAAGCAGGTCAGAGAGATATGGGGAGCAAGTCCGTGGCGGGGCCATGTAGGTCAAGCAGAGGATTTTGTAGTTAAACTTCTTGCCTTGATGGGGAGCCAGTGCAACTGTTTAAGAACAGGTGTGATGTGGCCATGTTTGGGAATGCGACTGATAATCGTGCGGCCGTGTTCTGCACCTTCTGTAACTTATCCAATAGCCTCTGACTGATCCCAAACAACAAGCTGTTGCAGTAGTCGAGCCTTGAAATCACAAGCGCCGAACTAAGGCATGGGTGGCTTCAGCTGTAAGATATTGGCGGATGTAAGCTGATGGAGCTTGAAGATGGAAATAGCAAGTCTTACAGATGTTGTTCACCTCGCGTTTCCATTGACAGTGATGTATCAAAGTATATGCCTAGATCTTTGACAGATGAGCTTATAGGAACAACTGCATCGGCGATGGTTAGGTTCTTAATGGGACATCTTGAAATTTGGTGACTTGTTCCTACCAGAAGTGCCTCAGTCTTCGTGTCATTGAGTTTAAGCATATGAGTTGTCATCCAGGACTTGATTTCCCCTGTGCAGTTTGTGAGTTCTTGAAGTGACTGATTTAGATTTTGCAGTGGTATTTTCTTGAGGAGTTGGGTGTCATCTGCGTAAGAGTGATGCGACATGTTGTGGACTGATGTGATGTTGGCAACATGACCAGTATACAGCAGGAACAGCAACGGTCCCAAAACAGATCCCTGTGGTACTCCATGTTTGAGAGTAATGCTGTCAGATCTGTCTTTCCCTATCATTACACACTGCCGTCTGTCACAGAGATAGGAGCTTATCCAGTTCAGTACTATGCCGTCAATTCCATACTGGGTTTTCAGCAGATTTAAAAGGATACTATGGTCTATGGTATCAAATGCTGAGGAGAGGTCTAAAAGGACCAATGCTGCTATGTCACCCCCATCTACATTCCGTCTCAACTCATCACTAACTTGTACTAAAGCTGTTTCAGTACTATGACATTGTCGGTATGCAGACTGATGCTTGTCCAATAGGTTATGATTGTCCAAGGAGGACCAACATCAGAGATGTGAAACCATTATAGAGAACATCATTCGAGTTCTTGATGCAGAAGACGCTGTTCCTGATAACCTTAGTAACAGCAGCAAGGATGTCGGAAATACATGCTCTGAACCTCGAGGGAACACGATTTGATGAAAATCAAAACATCGTGCATATGGGACTGAGATGGGACTTCATAGCAAAGAATCAACTGCCAGGTCATCCAGCCAGACAGTTCCACGTCCCAACACTATCATCAGTCCTTGGACCACAGGATATCAAGTGTCTTTTCGTCTCGATATAGACAGAGACACAGACGGAGGTCTTCCGCACTAAGATATCAAGCTGGATCAGAACTGTCATACTACGGGCCTACAAAGCAGCAGGACTTGTCCTCCAAGAGTCTCCAACCCACATGAAGTTAGAGCTCTGGCGTCAACGCTCGCTCTACATGGGAATCGCTCTATCAGTACGAATATGGAGGGCTGCTTCTGGAAATGGGACAGGATGGTTGCCAACCACTACCTGAAGGACATCGCCACATGCCTCTGGCTTTCACCATTTCGGCCCACTTGTTGTAGCACAACAATTGACAGTCCCACAAAGGCGCTGAGACGGAGTCTCGCCCTTTTATCACATGACTTACAAAGCCTACACTCCGGAGAGGTTTGCTTTAAGTCTATATGCACGTCTAGGACAGACTAGCATAAGTAATCTGACCCAGTACTTGTAAGGATACTTATACAGGAATGGGTCGCTTCTCCACTTGGTGCTTGCATCAAGAGATGGAGTCGCAAAATCCACATAAAATGTTAACAGAAGAAAGGACCTAAAGTTAACTATTGTGGTCCCCCCATCTAAAGGCAGCTGGAAGGTCAGGGTCGCAGCAGCAGCAGAGATTAGCAGTTAAATTCAGTGCCAACACGAAGTTCCCATATGGGGGTATAGAGACGTAAATCACTACATGAAATCCAAAGTAACTTGCCCGCCGCCTGTCCATCGGATTCTACAAGCATTAAGCATGAGTCAGGATAGGGAAAAATATGTAATTTTCAGAATAAAATTGATATTTTTATACTTATCCTGACTCATGAGGTAAGCCCACCCAGCCTCCCCACTAGACACTTTGGATTTCCATGCAAATTCAAGTGTCGGGCTCATAATCAGGAGAGAGTGAAGCATGTGGGGACGACGGCACCACAGTTTCCCGCCTAAACAGCTGGGGAGATAACTCTTGGGAGGAGTGATTTTACGTCTGTTCTTTATTGAAGGGAGCTTCAATAGGAGATACAAGTGTTCCACTAACGTTCGCAAGAGGAAGGAGACAAGCATTAAGCATGAGTCAGGATAAGTATAAAAATATCAATTTTATTCAGAAAATTACATGTTCATTTTTACGCAATCCGAAAATTATTTTGAAAAGGATTTCTCAAATAATATGCATGGTCGTCAATTTCCTGATATCAGTGGCTTTCTGCTCCATTACTTGATACAACAGCAGGCAATACCTCGGTTTTCGAAGCTTCGTATGAATAACATGTGAGGCGATTCGTTTGATGGCGGGTTCGAAAGCTCTGAACATCAACAATATCACTGTACCCTTGCCGAGAGTATTTTCACAGTTGTAAGAAGCGATTTTATTGGATAAAGATTGGTTTCTAATGATGCTTTTTCACTACAGTCTGCTATAAAGATCGTGATTGGTCAAAATCGTACACGTGACCTAAGGCAGCCAAACCATGTTCCTCTAGAATGTTGTCCCTATTGTGACGTCACAATATATATGTAATGACGTCATATTGTAACTGCTACACTACCCTGAAGAGTAAACAACAAAACATGTTGGAGAAAAAAACATTCTATTTTTATTTGTCTATCTGATGACTGAATGTTTTCTTGTTTTCAGATACAAGAGAATATTTTCTGTTGGGACACATGGAATCACAACCTACAATCCGAACACATATGAGGTTACAAATCAGGTATGTTAGTGGACAACAAAGCAACTTCCCTTCGTGGTTATCACTTAATAATGAACACGCATACATGTTTGCGTAGATATTCGTTCAGCAGATTATTGGAAAATTTGTCTTTTTGAGCTTAAGTGTACTTATTTAAAGACCTGATTGCACCACATCAATACATATCTCAAGATATCTGCACAAATGTATGATGCTGAATTTTTGCATTGACCACGTATCACAATTGTCTTCAGGCCCACCTGATAGAGCAGTCAGAGTTACTCTTTTTGATTTCATGGCTCACATGCTCCATTTGACAAACACATGCTTTGGACTTATACCAGATGGGGACCAGAAGTTGAGGTTCAGAGTTGCCTTGTGGGATTTTGTTGCTATAAACCAACAATTAATGAAGGAGATTGTATCTTCACAATAGCACCAGTCTCTTCATTTCAGAGGCAATAGGCTGACGTGTCATTGTGTCCAGTGCATGTATTTTTGTAAGATGCCAAATTTAATAATTTTTTCTTATCCTGACTCATGATCTTTTGCTTATCTCCCTTTTCTTTTCGAATGGTAGTGGAAACACTTGAATCCCTTGAATTTTCTGAAGCGGACGTAAAAATACACTCACCCATGAGTTACCTCCCTTTTGCCCTTTTCCTGCGCAAACAGTCATGTGACCCGACTTCCTCGTCACTTTCTCCCTTTTACGTCATTTATATCCTTTTTATTTAGATCCTATTCTTCAAAAGTAGCGGGATTAACTGCACAAAAATCTCCTCAGAACCTACACATTCATGAAGGTTAATGATGTTTCTTAAGAATCCAGGAGGGACTCACGTCCATATACAGATCATTCACCTACGGGCAGATCTTCAGGCAGTCAAGTCGTCCCGGTTAAGAGCTAACGACTTGATAGATACTACCGGAGAATTTCAGCGCAGCCTTGGTAAGGCTATGAAGTTCCACAGTCAACATATCCCCGACGTCCAAGCCAGGGATTTCCCACTACTTCACACAGAACCCTTCAGAGATTGATGTGAACTGCAAGATCATCAACGACTCCCGTTGTAGATCTTACACTGAAGTTGCAAGTATCAACTCTACAAACACCTTTGTGTATTCAACACAAAGGGGGTTATTTTACGACACTTCATTGAGACCGATGAATACAGTCTACAAGCAACAGCCCGTTAAGCAAGTATGGAATTTCAACTGATCATTTGTATAAGATGACGACTGCATTATCTTCAGGAATGAAGGAACAGTCACAGCAGCCAGGGAGTCAGTCTACCTACATCGGTATTACGCGGCGAAATCTTTCGTGCGTTTACCATTCAGCCCTCTATACACGTGGTCACTCGTGTAACTTCGGGAGGTTACGGACAAGGCCGAGTGTTGATGAAGAAATCAATGACTGCACAAGATTCTACAAGGATCTTTTTCCTGCAACACCAGTGACGTCACATCGCGGGAATCTGAAAGGAATCAAAATGCTGCATTTTGATTGGTCCATGAGAGACAACGCCCTGCGCAGAAGTCGGACATCGCTCACATGTCAGGAAGTTGTCTACAGATTGTAAACAACATTTCAACATGGGAGGAGGGCTCCATTTACAGTCCGTTTACAGTCCAGTTAGCAGGGTACAGCGTGATTTGACCATCTTCACAGGATTTAGAGACCTTCCCTGTCAGCAGATTGAAGACTGTTTATCCGGCAAATTTCAGCAACATATGTTGACGAAATTTGTTCGCGGCAGCCAGTCTACTATATATAGACTTAACAACGATGGCAGTCCCAGATCCGGAGGTTGCTTCGCTTCCTTTACGGACATGGCAAGGATGCCACAGAATTACAAGGTCGTCTCAGAGGATCGTTGTGTCTAGATACAAGCCATCGTATCTCAAGCACCACTTCTCTCTTTTACCACTACGAAGTTGGCAGAGCCTACTCAGTCTTCTCACGTCAGCCCAAGACATGACTCACAGAGGAAGACTACAATTGCGCCCACTTTAGGTGCGTGAACGCCCGTTTCAATAGTCTGGACTCCTTCGGACTACCGGACGGATTGAAACCATAATTCTATAGTGGACTTGGAAGTCGAATATTTGCAGAGGAATCTACTTATCAGAGCGGAGTGCAACACTCATCTCTAAGTAGATGCATCACTTCAAGGCTGGGAAGCTCACCTTGACAAAGAAGTGGCAGCAGGGAAATGGTCGAGTCAGGAGCAGTCTGCATATCAACATGCTTGAGATGAAAGTAGTAGGACCTTACTACACTGGTCCAGCATACTAAGGAATGCACAACTGATGATCCACACGGACACAGTGGCATTCTACATCAGCAAACAAGGATCAACAAGGTCAAGATATCTACTAGACCTCAGCTTTCATCTGTTCAGCATAAAAGATGACTTGAACATCTACATAAGAGCATGCCACTTTCTTTGAGCCAAGAATGTGATAGCAGACGCCATATCTCGTCCAACACAAGCAACCCCCGACGGAATGGATGCTACATCCAGAAGCCTTTAGATACATCATACAGACGATAAATTCCACTAAAAGACCTGTTTTGCAACAAAATTCAACAAACAGCTACCCACATTCGTCTCTCCGATTCTCGATCCACAAGCATGGGCAACAGATGCTCCAAGCATCTCCGAGGTAGGACTAAACGCTTAGGCGTTTCCTCCTCCAGCTCTAATACCACAGGTGTTGCAGAAAATCAAGCAGACGAGGAAGCTGCAACTGATATGATCGCGCCTTTCTGGCCAGCGACAATGTGGATTCCTATTCTCACACAAGAATTTGGAAGTCCAAAACTGCAACTCTCAGAGTGGCCGAACCTGCTGATACATCCGCACACCAAGCAAGCACACGGGAAACCCACAGTGTGCCAGCTACACACATGGAGTGTATCAAGACTTGCTTGACGAAAGGAGAATGCTCCGCCAGAGCAGCGAAAGCAGTTACACTAGCTTTACGCAAATCTACCCGCACCTTGTATAACGACATGTGGCAGAGTTTTGAGAAATACGCCTTGGAAAAAGGCTTCACAGCGATGAAAGCAACTCATCCTCAAGTGGCGGAATATCTTTGTCATCTCAGACAAATAATACAATTAAAAGGTTCAACGCTATCTACATACCTAGCGGCCCTCAGCTCAGTAATCACCAGGAAGTCGGGTGTTAAACTGACTAAAGTACCAGAAATACTGGCCTTACTACGATCCTTCAAATTGGAAGATCAACAAAGGAAGTTTAAAGCGCCGGCTTGGGATCTCAACGTAGTTCTACAGCTTCTCACCAGTGATGCTTATGAACCACTAGACAGGACATCCTATGAGTTTCTTACACAGGAAACTCTCTTCCTGATCGCTTTGGCAACAGCAGCATGGATGTCAGATATACATGCTCTAGACTTTGAACGTATACGTTTGATGCACATCACAACATCGTTCATCTGGGATTGAGATGGGACTTCATAGCTAAGAATCAACTGCCAGGTCAACCCGACAGACAGTCCCACGTCCCAGCATTATCATCAATCCACAGGATATCCAGGACCTATCCTTATGCCCAGTCAGAGCACTGAAAATCTTTTTACAAAGATCTAAAAACAGGAGACGAAAATTCAAACGCCTTTTCATCCCTATATCGGCGGAGACACCCACAGAGATCTCACGCACTACGATATCATTCTGGATGAGAGCAATCATCCTTAGAGCCTACAAGGCAGCAGGACTTGAGCGCCTCCACGAGCCTCCAATCCTCTTGAAGTCAGAGCATTAGCATCTACGCTCGCCTTACATGGAAACTGCTCAATATCTACGATAATGGAAGGCTGCTTTGGAAGTCGGAGACGGTGTTTGCCAACCACTACTTCAGAGACATCGTTTCCAGAGACGTCTCCGGAATTCACCAATTGTACCTCTTGTGGTAACACAACTAATGGTTCCACAAAGGCGCGGAGAAGGATCTCACCCCTTTATCACGTGACTTGCAAAGCCAACGTTCTGGAGAGCTTTAGAGTCCATGCGCACGTCTAGGACAGACCAGCATGAATGATAAACCCTGTACTTGTAAAAGAATTACTCGTACATGAAGAAGGATTGCTTCTCCACTTGATGCAAGCATCAAGAGATGGAGTTGCATAAATCCACACATAATGTCAGCAGAAGAAACGTTCCAGCAGATCTGACAAGTTGTGGTCCCCCCAAACTCATCAGAAAAAGATGGAAGTAAGCATCAGCAGCAGCAGCAGTGCCATCAGAAGTTCCCATGGGGGGTAAATAGGACGTAAATTCATCAGTAGGAATCCAGAAGTGGCTTGACCCACCACCAACTCCGTCGGATTCTACAAGCAATAAGCATTAGTCAGGATAAGGAAAAATACGTAATTTTCTGAATAAAATTGATATTTTATACTTATCCTGACTCATGAGGTGAGCTCTCCCAACCTCCCCTCAAGGCACTCTGGATTTCCCAGTAAATCAGTGTGTCAGGCTGTAAAATACGGAGAGAGTGAGGAGCATGGCGACAGGTGGCGCCGGTTTCCCACCAAAACCTGGGGAAGGGAGATGACTCCTGGTGAGTGATTTTACGTCCGCTTTTTTTGAAGGGAGCTTCAAAAGGGGATTCAAGTGTTCCACTAGCATTCGGAAGGAAAGGGAGACAAGCAATAAGCATGAATGAGGATAAGTATAAAATATCAATTTTATTCAGAAAATTACATTTACTGGTGCTATGTTGAGTACGTTGCAGGGGCAGTCTGCTGGTACAGGGGCTAAGAATAGATCGGCTACAACGCAGTTGACTCCGACTCAAGCTAAGAAAAAGACACCATCCTCTTCTACATCGCAGAAGAAAGCATCTGTTACCAGATCGGAGGGTAAATCTACGCAGGCTAGTAAGTCAATGCATCAGAAATCCTTCAACAAAGAGATATTACCTCCACATGAAGTAGACGTTTTTGATGATCCCCCACTACTTCTACCCGAAGTGCCTACGAGA